TGGACAGCTGAGCATGACAAGCCAGAGGGAGAGGAGTTTGATGGTCCTGGCTTGTTATGGGAGTCCTTTGCAGAGCCTGACTTCGGGAGCCCTGCGCAGAACAGACTTCAGGAAATTTTCTATGAGAGGGAGGCTAGGCATGACTGGGATGACCCCCATGAGGTAGAGCAAGACCTGGCTCACCTAGCAACCCTGGAGTGGGAACTGGAGCAGGACTACCGAGATCTCTTCCACTCCATTGGGAAGTCTCCGCAGGACAGCAGAGTGACAGATCCAGTCTCAGACCCATTCAGCTGGGAAGATATTGTTGAAATTTATTGGGAGGAACCCCAGGTGGCAGGTGGAGAGGGGACCGAGGTCTCTCCACCGGTATTGCAGGGAATTGGGAGCCCAAGCTCCATTCCCCAGCGGGAGATATTGCAGGGAATTGGGAGCCCAAGCTCCATTCCCCAGCGGCAGGCTGAGTTACGGGGGCAGAGGTAGTTGTTCCTGCCACCCAGCAGCAGAGTGATATGCCGGGAAGGCAGTGTGAAGTGCAGGGAGAGGAGAGCAGCGTCCTCCCTCCCCAGCGACAGGCTGAGTTACAGGGGGCAGAGGTAGTTGTTCTTGCCCCCCAGCAGCCAAGTGATATGCCAGGAAGGCAGTGTGAAGTCCAGGGAGAGGAGAGCAGTATCCTCCCTCCCCAGCGGCAGCGTGATTTTTTGGGAATTGGGAGCCCAGTCTCCATTCCCCAGCGGGAGATAAAACAGGGAATTGGGAGCCCAGTCTCCATTCCCCAGCAGCAGAGTGTCCTACCAGGAATAGAGAGCCCAGTCTCCTTTCCCCAGCAGCAGGACTCTGTATTGGGAGCAGAGACAGTCGGTCTCCCTCCCCCGTGGCTGGAAGTATATATGGGAGAGGAGATTGTTACCCCCTCTCCCCAGCGGCAGCTTAATGTACCCGGGGGAGACAGTAAGCCCCACAACTGTGCAGATGGGACCGTGGTCTTTGCACATACAGCAAAGGGGGTAGGGACGGTCGGTTCTGCCCCCCAGCGACAGGGCTGTGTAGCCAAAGGGGAGACAGTCGGTCTCCCCCTCCAACAACCAGGCTTCAACCAGGCTACCCTCCCAGTAGCGCTGGCAACAGGGCAGAGTGCCGCTTGTCTCTGCCCATGCAGCACCCCACCAAGTCAGCGTACCCGTACCCAGCACAGCCGTGGTGAGGCACCTGGACATGGACAAGCTTCTCCTCTACCCAGGTGTAGTAACCATTTATTGTGGGTGGGCAGGGAGATTATGTCTTGTGGGTGGGCTGCTGGACTAACAAGGGCACTTAGTATATATACTGTATAATATATATTCAGGTTCAGGAGACAATCACATTTAGTGTAATTCAACAATCCCATAGTGGTACATAAGAAATAAGATAGATAGTATAAGTCCAATATTAGCAGATATAAATAAGGGTAAATATATCCAAAAGATATAGACATAGATACTATACATGTATCCTAAAATTCCTACACATATCATAATTAGAATTCCTATATATATCATGTTAGTCTGTTTGGAAAAGGGTAGAGATGTGACGAGACCAATCTCGCCACATTGCATTGGAGAAGCCTGGTTACTCGCCTGCTGCCTTTGGACTATGGCCCCCTGTTAAAAGACATCTTTTTTAACCTGCAGAAAAGCATCATTCGTGCTTTTCTGCCTGGGGCTCGGTAGATTTGTTTGAATGTGTTATACCCCTGAAAGGAATCCCATGGAGCCCATTCGTATGAAACTGACTGTAAAGACTTTGGCTCCATGGTGATTAAACTGTATTTGTGTGGTCTGAGCGCCATTCACTTAATAATGTGCGCTCAGACCTGAGCTATCTGGGGATATGTTAAATGTATAGTTTTAATGTAAGGTGTTTTACTGTCTTTGTGTCCCCATGTGCTCAATGGAGTCTGCCTCTATCCCTGGATAATTGGATTACTTTCCCCATTGTCCAGGATAGAGGGCTCTGTAAAACCTGTTTGAGCCAGATAGCCATGCTGCCAGCCAGGGTACAAAAGATACTTTTACTAACTTTTGAACCCCTGGTCTGATTCATGCCATTTTTTAATATGTTGTTCCCCTGAATGGATTGATTGTGAATATGTAATTTTATGTGAATGTGATGTATGGTTTTAGAGTTATGAAAGTTGGGTAGAAAGTATGTTTTAACTGTATGTGTAATTGAGTTTCCTCTCAGGATAAGGGGAGGGAATATGTGGGATGTAACTGTGATGTGATTGGTTGTTTTATACCTCCCTGTGGGCGGTCCTGTATTTGCAAGACTGTAATAAAAACCAGGCTGGGTGTGCCAGCACCTCAGACCACTGCTTGACCCTCAACACGGAGCCTTGTCTCGTTCTTGGGGGGATTCACTGTATGCTGTTAGAGACTGATTGCCAGGAGTGTAAGCTGATTGTCTGCTTTTCCTGTTCATCTGCTAGCAGCTATTTGGGAGGTTCCAGTTCGGGAGTTGGAGTGCTATTTTGTATCCAGTTCGGGAGTTTGGTGTTCTGCAGTAGCTGTGCCTGTATCTCTGGAAAGGGGGCCGATCGCCTAAACGGTTTTTACCCCTTGTGTGCAAAACGATCCGTTACAGTTATATATAACCGAGTGATATGAATTGTGTGATTAATAAGATTAGCGAGTACTATTTATGTACGTGAGATAGAAAATCGATCTATATTAATCGATTTTTTTGAAGAATATGAAAATTATAATTAAAAACATTATTTGGGTTGTCATGGAAAAAGTATGTATTTACATCAATAATTTACACTTATAAAAAGCTATTCAGGGGGTAAGGTTCTATTCAAGACCAGTTAGATACTAAGAATGCATGATACCTAGTATATATACTGTATAATATATATTCAGGTTCAGGAGACAATCACATTTAGTGTAATTCAACAATCCCATAGTGGTACATAAGAAATAAGATAGATAGTATAAGTCCAATATTAGCAGATATAAATAAGGGTAAATATATCCAAAAGATATAGACATAGATACTATACATGTATCCTAAAATTCCTACACATATAATTAGAATTCCTACATATATATATATCCTAGAATTCCTAGATATATCATAGCTATGAATACAGACTCATCCTTTCAATCATCTGTATATATGTAGAGATATATGTAGAACATTAGTCAAATTATAGACCATCGAAAATACCTCCATCTGATCGACTACTAATTTGATCATAGTATCCAGTCTAGAGAATATATAGAAAAATCTTAATTTCAATTATATTTAAGGATCTCAACATCACAAAAATACGGAGTAGACAATGTTTTCATTCAGTCCCTTAGGTGTCACAGTATCTAGACGGTGTATCCAACGGGCTTCTCTTTGTTACAACATTTTAGACCGATCCCCTCCTCTCGAAGGCATAGGTATATGGTCAATCACAGTAAAGCGTAAGGTCGGTAAGCGATGTCCAAAGTCCAAAAAATGTTTGGCCACTGGTTTGTCACTTGTTTTATCCCGAAAAGCAGTGGTGATGGTGGATCGGTGGCCTCGTATCCGATCTCTAAGAGTCAGGTTAGTTTTTCCAATGTAGGATAAGCCACACGGGCAAGTAATCATATAGATCACATGGTCAGTGGTTCATGTAATATATTGATTGATGTTTATTCTTTGTCCATTATGTGGATGGGCAAATGAGGTTCCACTCACCATGTGACTGCAGGTGACACATCCACTGCATTTAAAACATCCCTTTTTAGTAATTTTTTGGGGGATTTGGTAACAGTGTCTAGGATCATTTTTTACAAGCAAGTCTCTGAGATTTTTATTTCGCTTATAACTAAGTACAGGTCGGTTTTGGAAAGACTTCGACAATTGCTTGTCAGCTTGTAATAATCCCCAATGTTTATTAATGGAATTTTTGATAACTGATGTACCAGTATGGTATGTCATTGGAATATATATTTTAGGTATTTTAGGTATAGAAGTTCCTTTTTTCCTCCTCTCAACGCCTTGTTTTTCATTTTCCCATATTTCTTTTGCTTGTGACTTAGCTATATTTAAAGTCTGAATCATATATCCTCTTGCCCTG